TACCTCCCACTGTTGGTTTTCATTGTTATTTTCCGTTTCCTCTTCCTGTAATACTTTGGCTAGGATGTTTTGAAGAGATGGTTTTCTAGCTGCGAATTCTTTAAACTTTTGTTTATCGTGGAAGGTTTTAATTTCATTCTCCATCCTGAAGCTTAATTTCGCTGGATACACAATTCTTGGTTGGAACCCATTATCTTTCAGTGTTTGAAATATGTTATTCCAGGATCTTCTAGCTTTCAGAGTCTGTGTTGAAAGATCAGCTGTTATCCTGATTGGCTTGCCCCTAAATGTAATCTGCTTCCTTTCTCTTGTAGCTTTTAAAATTCTCTCCTTGTTCTGTATGTTGGGCATCTTCATTATAATGTGTCTAGGTGTGGATCTCTTATGATTTTGCACATTCGGCGTCCTGTAGGCTTCTAGGATTTGGGATTCTGTCTCATTCTTCAAGTCTGGGAAGTTTTCTTGTATTATTTCATGGAATAGACAGCTCATTCCTTTGGTTTGGAGCTCTGTACCTTCCTGTATCCCAATGACTCTTAAGTTTGGTCTCTTAATGTTATCCCATATTTCTTGGATGTTCTGCTCATGGTTTCTTAACAGTCTTGCTGAGCTGTCTATGTTCTTTTCCAGTTGAAATACTTTGTCTTCATTGTCTGATGTTCTATCTTCTAAGTGTTCTACTCTGTTGGTAGTATTCTCCATTGAGTTTTTAAGTTGGTTTATTGCTTCCTGCATTTCTAGGATTTCTGATTGCTTGTTTTTTATAACCTCTATCTCCCTGTATAGTTGATCCTTTGCTTCCTGGATTTGTTTGCGTAATTCGTTGTCGAAGTGATCTTTCATTGTCTGATTTTGCTGTTTAATGTCTTCCTTGATACTCCAGATCATCTGAAGCATGTATATCCTGAATTCTTTATCTGACATTCCATCTGCTGCAGCTGTTACCTCTACTAAAGTTGCGTTGACCTGCATTGCTTGTGGTCCTTTCTTTCCTTGTCTTTTCATACTGCTTGCGTATCTTTCCTGCAGGTGCGGGCGGCGGCTCTGCTCTCTCCTTATTCCAATTGGGGTGTCGTGGCTACCACGCCGGCAGGTCACTGGGCCTGTTCTGGGAGCTGGTGGCGGCTCTGTTCTGCCCCTACTCCAATTGGGGTGACGTGTCTGTCGTACCAGCAGGCCACTGGGCCTGTCCTGCTGGTCGGTCGCAGATCTGCCCACCTTTCGGGCACGAGTGGAGGCTCTGCTTTGCCCCTACTCCAATTGGGGTGTCGTGACTACCCCGCCTGCAGGATGCTGGGTCTGTTCCTGGCAAGGTAGGCGACTCTGCTCTGTCACTACTCCAATTAGGGTGGTGTTTGTACCCCGCCGGCAGGCTCCTGGGCCTGATCCGCCGGTCTGTTGTAGGTCTGCCTACCTTGAAGGCGCGGGCGGCGGATCTGCCCTGCCCCTCCTACCACGCCTGCGGACCCCTGGGCCTGATCTGCAGGTTGATCACTGGTCTGCTCCCCCTGCGGGCACGGGTGGCGGTTCCGCTCCACCCCCACTCCAATTGGGGTCACGTGACCACCACACCGGCAGGGCCTGATCCGGGCGTGGGAGAAGGATCTGCTCTGCCCCTACTCGAGTTGGGGTGACGTGTGTACCACACTGGCAGGCCACTGGGCCTGACCCGCCAGGCTGTCACAGGTCTGTTTACCTTGCAAGCGCGAAGGGCGGCTCTGCCCTGCCCCTCCTACCACGCCCATGTACTACTGGGTCGTGGGTCTGCCCACCTGGCGGGTGTGGGTGGCGGCTCCGCTCCGCCCCCTCTCCAATTGGGGTCACGCGGTCACCACACTGGCGAGCCGCTGGGCCTGCTCCGGGGGCTGGCGGCGGCCCGGCTCCTTCCCTCTGGCTCGAGGACAAATTGAGGAGACTCGGGTGACTGAGCCTCACCCCCCTTACCAGGAGACCAACTGCTTATGTCACCGCTGGTATTGATGAAGATCTCTCCTCCACCGCTTTCTGCTGACATCAGATCTCTGCCATGTTGGTATCCTATGCGAATGGCAGCATTTCGTTCCCCTTGCCAGGCAACCCAAGCAATGGGTGAGTCCTGACCTGCCCTCAGCAGGACCCGGACCGAGACACAGTTTCCGCGGGCTCCTAGCCCCGGTCCAGGGAAGTTCCGGGAGCCGGAACTCGGCCGCTCCGTGCTCGGTGTAAGCTCCTATAAGTGTAGGCTCCAAGAAGCAGCCCCCGCGGGCTCAGTTCCGGGAGCCGGAATTCGGCCGCTTAGTGTTTGGTGTTTGCTCTGATAGTAGCAGGGTCCAAGAAGCAGCCTCCGCGGGCTCCGCAGCCCTGAGCCAGGGCGGTTCCGGGACGGTTCCGGGAGCCGGAACTCGGCCGCTCTGTGCTCGGTGTAAGCTCCTATAAGTGTAAGCTCCAAGAAGCAGTCCCCGCGGGCTCAGTTCCGGGAGCTGGAATTCGGCTTCTTGGTGTTTCGTGTTTGCTCTGATATTGAAAATGAATGCATTTTTGACTTAAGATATTTTCAACTTATGATGAGTTTATCAGGATGTAACTCCATTGTAAGTCAAGGGACATCTGTATTTTGGTCTTTTAAAGTATCTCTCAAAGATGTTTGTAGTTTTTATTTTACAAATATTACCATTTTTTTGGTTAAATTTATTTTTAACACTTTTATTCTTTTTTATTTTTTATATATGTAATTGTTTTCTTAATTTTATTTTTTGGAGTGTTCATTGTTAGTGTCTAGAAATACATTTGATTTTTGTACGTATATTTTTGTATATATATTCTGTTAAAATATTTTGAACATTTTTCTATGTCAAAAAATATACTTCTATGGGGGTTAGGTGTGTATCTCAGTGGTAAGAGCATTTGCCTAGCATATGTGAGGCTCTGGTTTTGATCCCCAATACTATGCAAAAAAGATTATATATCTACATATGTGCAAAAAAGATTATATATGTATGTATGTGTGTTTATATTGATATATATGCTTTTATAAGATTATTTTATGGTTTTGTAATGTTTCACCATGTGGATGTACCATCATTTACCAATTCCTTATTATTAAACATTTACCTAAATTCCTTATTATTAAACATTTACCTAAATTCCTTATTTTAAAACATTTACCCTTAAACTTAAAAAAAAAGTATAAACAACTCTGACAAATACTTGCCATTGAATCTTTGATAATAGCCCCAATTATTTCCTGGATATAAATCTCTACAAGTGGAAATGTTAGGGAAAATATATGCCTATTGGAGTCATTTGCTAAGCACAGCAAACATTGTCCTTCTAAAAGCTGATAGGTTTTACTTTTACCAGTGTGTGACATTTGAATCCATGGATTCTTTTCAACCATCAGTTTTTAAAAATCTTTACCAGTTTGATAAATAAAATATGAGTTTAATTGGTGCTTTGCTTGCATTTCAATTTCCAGAAAGTTCAAACTTTTTAAAACAAATATGTTTATTAGGTTTTTTAAAGTTTCTTTTTCTGTGAATTGCATTTAGGTCTCTTTAGACTTAAATGGTCAGCTTCTCCGTACTTGTTTTGTGTATGTACTAAAGCCTTTAATCCTATGTCATTTATGGTATGCATTTTCTCCCTCTTTTGTTTTTTCATTTTTATTTAGTTAGCTTTTTGATGCACATTTATTTCAGTTTTTATGGAGGTAATTTATTGGTCTTTATGGCTTTTCCTTTCCATGTTATGCTCACAATTCTCCCCATATTTTTTGGAGAACACATGGAAGATTAAATGGACATATTTTGTCCTATAACATATCACAGGATTTAATAAATATACCAGTCATGTCTTTGTCCTTTATATTAGTTCCTGTGGGCAGCAGTAACAAAATTTCCTATACTCCATAGTCCATAAACAACAGAAATTTACTTCCCATAGTTCTGGAGGCTGATCAGTTTAAGATCAAGGTGCCAGCAGATATCCTGTCTGGTGACAGTTCCACTTTCTAGTTCATAGCAGTATCTTCTCTGTGTCCTCAGATGCTGGAAGCTGCCAACCAGCATCAACTCCAGTCTCTTTTGTAAGGTTCACCGGTTCACCAGAACCACCTTCATGGCCTAATCACCTCCCAAAGTCCTCACCTCCTAAAACTATCATGTTAGGGATTAGGATTTTGGGGGATACAGGAACACTCAGACCATAAAAGCTTGCAAGTGTACCTTTTTTTTTTTTTAATAGTTGGACACAATGTCTTTATTTTACTTTATGTGGTGCTGAGGATGAACCCAGTGCCTCACGCATTGTAGGCAAGTGCTCTTCCTTTGAGCCACAACCCCAGCCCCCACCCCAACAAGTGTACTGCTTTATCCCTGGTTCTGTAGCCTTGCAGAGCAGCCCTTTCACAGGTTCCCTCTTTTTTCCTTCTTTGTTTTCAAAGCTCCAGTCTTATTTCCTCTGGACAAGTCCCCTGATCGTCCGTCCTGGCCCACAGCAATGACACCTCCTCTAATTGCTTAGATGACCTATGTGGACTTAGTTTCAGCAAGGTGGACTGCATACTGGACCAATCCTCAGCTCTGGGCAAGTACCCTTTGTCCTCAGTCCAGCGTGACAGCTCCAGTAACTTACACTTAACATCTCAAAAATTGAGCTGATGGGGCATCTAAAGGATTTCCTTTAAGGTACCTTTCTGGCTCGCTAACCACAACTCGTATCTTTTAAATGTGTACATTCCACCACTCCTAATTCGGTGAGTTTCTTTAATCCCCGCTAGTATGTGGCTGTAGTGACAGGAATTGGACGTGCACACTGTTGAAGATCAATACTTGTCTGGGGACAACGTCTTTGATGAAAGTTCTGCAGGTGGTGGCGACTTCCTGCAAATCTCTTAGGTCAGGAGCCAGATTTACTGGCTTTGGCCAGAGATCCTGAGTATCTGGAGAGCGATCTGATTTCTGCCCTGGCGCTGGGAAGGTCGGGCCGTTCAGGGGCCCCGGCTCGGGCTGCCTGGGTACTAGCCCGGGAACGCCTCTCCCGTTCCCCGCCGGCGAAGTTTGCCGCGCGCCTGGCGTCCTCAAAGACTACGCCTGCTGGCCCCAGGCTGGGCGCTGTCAGTTCCTGATCAGGCCGGTGCCCGCCCGGGCTGGTGCAGTTTCCAGAGCCGAAAAGCCACCCCCACGCCCGAGCTCCGCGCGTGGAACTAGGGGCGCGGCTCCGGCGCCGCCCACACCCGGGGCTGTTCTGACTCCTCGCGCTGCAGGCTCCACGAGATACGCACGGAGAGTGGCGGCCGCCCGCACGGCTGTGCCACCGAGTCCCTTGGCGGGTGGCCCAGGCAGGAAGATCCCGCGCCCCGGGATGGCGGCGGCTGCGCGGGCTCCAGACTGTACATCGCTGCCAGTCCTGCGGTCGCCACGGTCGCTGCTTGTGCTTGTGCTGGTGCTGCGGGTGCTGCCAGCCCGGAGTGCGACAGCTCGGGACCCCGCCGAGGAGCTCAGCTTGCACCCGCCCTACTTCAACCTGGCCGAGGCGGCAAAGATTTGGGCCACTGCTACCTGCGGGGAACGGGGACCCGGCGGAGTGCAGCCCCGGCCAGAGCTCTACTGCAAGTTGGTTGGGGGCCCCAACGCCCCGGGCAGAGGCCACACCATCCAGGTATGGTCCCGCAGAGAGCGGGGGTGGGGTGTGGGGCGCCAACTCCCTCCCCGCGGGGCAAGGCACCAGACCAAGGGATGGGTACTTTCCCCACACGTGTTAGTGACCCCATGCGACCGGGAAGTGTGCCCCAGCCCCGCACGTGCCAGGGACCCCGGAAGGTGGCATGGTGCCGCAGGAGCGAGCCTGTGGGAGCATTGCCCTGGCAGCATGCCGCCCGAGGCCGGGATGGGCGAAGCGCGCGGATGAGTGAAGGCTGTGGTCAGGTTCCAGCTTGTAGAGGAGAAAGTCCGAAGCTGCGCTGTCGGGATGCAGCGACTGTCCATCACCCAGGTGGCACTTGGCCAGACGGTGAGAGCTCCAGGCTTCAAGGGCGCGCCTCTTGCCAGGCTCTTCATCTTCCCTAATTTATTACCAGGCGTTGGTGGAAGTTGCCTTCTGTTGTGTAGTTCAAGAGAGAACTTTCAGGTTAAATCCTTAGTATCACTCTGATGTCACTGAAAAGATTCATTCCCGCTCCACCCCCCCCCCCCAAGTGCCACCATTCAGTCATTGGGACAAAGGAGATCTTCAGAGATCACACTTCCGCCGGGAACACCTGGTTGAAAAGATAGTGCAGCTGGTGCTTAGTGAGCATCTTGTGGTGTGCCAGGCTCTGACGCAGGAGCCTCCCAACCTGCTGGGAGGCGGCTCAGGAGAGGAGGCTAAGAAAAGTGCTCGCTTCCTGGGCAAGGGCAGCAGCACTTGAATCCAGTCCTGGCTCCAAATCCTCTGTGCTAAGCAGAAATCGCCTACCTGTCCTGGGTAGGACTGCTGAGGACGGGGAGTTGCCATAAGAGGGAGTCATTTTGGAACTTGGGCTGGGAAATAGCAGGATTATCATTGCATGTCTAGTGTGTTAGAGATTCTTTTGATGGTGCATGTTCATAAATGACAAGTAGTTGAACATGCAGTGTTCTATATATATTGATTTATTTATAAATTATATGCATGTATTTGCTATTAATATGCTGTGCACATTATAAAATATGTAGTAAGAGAAATTAAAAATGATTGAAGAAAATCCCTTTTACCATTTTAATAGAGTGTATATATTATAAAATATGCAAAAGAGAAACTGTAGGTAAAATAACAATAATGAAAATACCTTAGGTTTTTCTCTACCAGTCCTTGAATAATTTTGCCTTCTCTAATTATTTTGGGATGTGGATAACTATAGATATACAAATGAAATTAAGTATATAATTATTTTTGACAAGTTTAGTTTAGCACTTATGATTCAACAAGTCAGTTGATTTTATATTAATACTTGATTTTAGTGGTTGCATAACTGAAAAAAATACACTTAAAAATATGTAGATTTAAATGAAGAAATGCATTGAACTACTGTATTCCAGAGCCAGCTACCTATTTTATGGAGTCCTGTGTAAAATGGATACGTGAAGCCCTTGTTTAAAAATTATTTTAAAATTCAAGATGGTGACAGCAGAACATTAAACTAACAAGAGACCCTATAAGTGCAGACCCTTTGTGACTGCATAGATCTCCTGCTGTTCCAGATCCCTAAATCACTGTACTTATAGTTTTCCCTATCCTTCAATTATTCTAAAGTTTTTTTAAAAGTTGAAATTTGGCTAGTAATTATTTTCTTTCCAGGTTGTATTGGTACTTTCTACTAGCGAAAGTGCTGCGTTTTAATGTTTTAAACAATAAGTTCAAAACTCACTGCAAGTTTTTTTTTTTTGGAAAATATTAAAACATATTAGGGAAGTTTGTTTCCTTGTTTTCAAAAATACGAGTATTTTTAGAGTTATGCAGTTCTATCTTTTCAGTAACAAAAAATTAAAACATTTCTAAACATCTGTTTTTCAAAATGCCTTTTCCAAGGCATACATTTCCTTAAGTAGTGTCTACTTTTGTGCATTTTGTTAAAACAACACTTTTACTTTGAAGGAACAGAGTGAGGGCCTTCAGTATTCTTTAAATATCTATCAGGCAGTAAACTGATGGCAGCCACTTGTTATTCCAGCAAAAGTCAGCAAATTCTGAAGTTTTGTGGAAAAAAAAAAAAACACATAACTCTGCCTTAAGGTTAAAAAGGTCTTTTAAGTATTCTGCCATGAGATAACTGGTAAGCCCACAGTTACTCCCCATTTCAAGATAGGTTTCTAACTTTTCTGCTATTTGGGGGAACAGAATTCATATGTCCACTTAACCATGCACATGTAAGCTGTGATATGTCATGGTCAGATGATAGCCTGGTGGCCTGCCTTTTCCCTCAGATATTCAGGACTGTTGATAACTTATGACTAGCTGACTTGGGAATCAGGTGGGGGCCTCTAAATCATTCTGTATGTTTCATATTAGAAAAAACTAGTTAAAAAGGTTTTTTTTTTTTTTTTCCATTTCCAAGTAAAATAAGGATGAGAACCAGCTTTAGTATTTACTTCTTACAACTGTGTGCTAGATTGCCTGGAACAGGCAACTTTGGAAAAAATTGTGGGCTGGGGTTGTGGCTCAGTGGTAGAGTGCTCACCTAGCATGTGTGAGGCACTGGGTTCGATACTCAGCACCACATAAAAATAAATAAACAAAGGTCTACAATATATATATATATATATATTGATGCCTTCCTTCTCTTCACCTCTCTCTCTCTCTCTCTCTCTCTCTCTATATATATATATATATATATATATATATATAAATTATATAAATTGTCCTAATTATGGGCAGAGTAGAGGTGAAGAGAAGAAAGGCATCATAGAGATCTTCATCTATCTCCACTTCCCCAGATTTATCCAGGGAGGGCCCCCTTAATTCTTCCCACTGATTGTTCATAGGTTAGCTTTACTGTTCTGGAGGCTAATGAAAATCACATTTGCTGTTCTACTTGGGTTTCTAGAGTAGGTCATTAAATATGGGCTCAAGCTCCTAGATATAGCAGGAGGTAGCTTTCTGAGGTCAACCAGCAGACAATGTCTCTAGGGCAGGATGTAGCCTGAAGAAAGAAAATGCTGTCTGGCATTATACCTTATTCTCCCTCTGCAAATAAGGGTTGAACAAAGGCCCTGCTGAATTATACTTTCTGCTTTCACAAGTTGAGGCCTTGGTAAGGCTGACACAAGAGAAGCATGTTGGGGACAAGATAGGAAAGTTGAGTTCCAGAGGTGGGATTACTAGACACTCACTCTAGCCCAGAGTAGGCAAAAGCTAGTACAGATTTGCCTTTTGGAAAATTGAGAGGAGGAGGGAGACAGGTGGAGAAAAGGGATTATGATTAATGGTTGTGTCTAAGTGATGCTTGACCTCAATCTCCTTATGTGCAGCTCAAGATGGGAAACAGAAGAGTTAGCCAAAATAGTTCTGTTTCTATGAACTTTCTAAAAATAAATTTTGGGGGATAGCCAGGTCAAAAGGATTTTGCACAAAATGTAAAAAAAAAAAAAAAAAAAAGAAGAAGGTCATGTTTTAGAACCAAATCTGGTTTTGTGGTAGTGATCTCTTTCTCTCTCTCTCTGGTAAGACATATAACACCAATGCTGATACTTGAATGGTAGCTTGTATCAACAGGTAGGATGTTTTAAAAGTCTACATTTTGTTTGTTGTGTGCAAAACATTCACTGAAGTTTCTCTGGAGGCAAGATTTATTTAAAATGGTTTTATGTATTTATTTCTGCTCAGACACTAAGTTTTTTGAGTCAGAGAGCTCTGTGATTTAGGGATTCTGTGTTCTTCATAACTGCACGGCCAGTGTTTATAATGAGCCTGAAACAGTGCAGGTGTTCGGAAAATGTTGAATGAAGGGATGATGGAAATGAACGTAAGTCAAAGAAGTTCATGGAAAAAGTAAACGTGAAAAATATACAAATGAATGTTATTCTGTTGAAAAGCAATTACAAATGAAATATGGTACACTTTGGGCTTTAGTTTTGAATGGTAACTTAACTATGGGATCTAATACGTGAGACATCTGACAGAGGTGATGATAAATTGAAATGGAAGGCCTCGTCAACAATGTCACCTAGAGTTAGGTAGCTCTGCATAAACACTATACTTGTAGGGGATGAAATGCACACATTTACCAAGCACATGATCTTTATTTTGTACATTGACACTTTGACCCATCCTTTATACATTTGTTTATGACACTGTGATTTGCATATGGGGCTGTGTATTTGGCCTGGATGATATTGACAGAGATATGCACACACCTGAGTTATGGCAGTGAGCGAGTGTGCTTGCTGTCAGCCACAGAGCAGTTTCGGTTGTGTTTGTGTAACTTGGACTAATGGCCATAAACAGGAAAGCCAACTTCACTAAGGCTCTGTTTATAGGGCTATTGTGAAAGAAAATCATTTGTTAACTCCAACAAGGGCTTTTTCCTTTCACTGTGTGAAAATGTTGAGCAAGGGCTGGGCAATCTAAGGCTTGTACTATGTCCACAGACATATTTGTAACAATTATTAATCTTAACTACTTAAAGATTTCAAATCAATCACTACAGTCAGAAATTTAAGGGCAAAGAATTCTTTTTAAAAATGATTTTCCTAATATATGTTTCACATTTGTGGAAATTAGCCTAAGTTTAGCATTGAAAGCTTATATACAAAACATATGAAGAAGACAAGCTTTTTTATCCATATTTTTAAATTGATGTGCTGTGGTTGTACATAATGGTAGGATTTGTTGTTACATATTAGTACGTGACACTATAATATAACGGGGCCAATTGCACTCCCCTGCATTTCCCTTCTCTCTTTCCTCCTCCCACTACTTGGTCCCTTTCCTCTATTCTATTGATCTCCCTTTGCTTTTCAAGTGTTTACCCCACCCCCACCCCTCACCCCCACCTGTCTTTTCCTTTTTCCTCTCTAGAGTCCACATGTAAGAGAAAACAAACAACCCTTGACATTCTGAGTTTGGCTTATTTCACTTAACATAATGGTCTCATGTTCCATCTTTTTTTTTTTTTTTTGCACCACTATTATGGTGCCTTACCC